GCATAGAAAATGACCTCTGATTACAAAAGCTGAGAGGTGGTGAGGTCAGTCTGCACTCTTCATCACGTCTGGTCAAACATCACCTGTTTCTGGTTCTACCCCCAACTTATTCAGTCAGTGCTGTTAAACTTTTCCATCTTCATCATCCTCTGCATCATCAACCTGATCTCCCATCCATTAACATTAACCTGTCTGTCTGTCTGTCTGTCTCTCTGCCTGTCTGTCTGCTGGCTCCTCCATCTTGCCTCCATCCTCCATCCCCCAGCTGTTTTTATTTGCTTCCATAAATCCCATGCGCCGCGTTAATCAGCCGCTTCCTATACGTGTGATTATGTTTTCAATTTTCATTTAAATCGCGATCCTCTTGCCGTAGCCGCGGGCGCGGGAGGGTCGTCAATTACTCGGGAAGCGTAAAATGTTGTGCACAGATGATGAGAGTGATGCTGGTGGAGGAGCATGTGGTCGCTTTTACTCATTAATGCCTGACAGGAAAGAGGAACTTGGCTGACCTCTGCTGGGCTCTGACAGGCAGTGTTGCAGATGTTGATCTGTTAATGATTTGATCCAGGATGTATATGTATTCTCAAGGCTTCCTCTGGCTCCTATTAACCACAGAACGGCTTCAGGAGAGTCAGAGCTGCGTCCAGCAGAGAGGAGGTATCAGTCTAACAGCTGTACATGTGTCATCCTGAGTAATAAAACAAAAGGATGCTTAAATACTCTCAGATTACAATCTCCTATGTAAATGAATATGATTTTGACCCTGAATGACCTCAGTCTTCTGACCTTCAATGTATAACCGGACATTTTGAGTCTGTCGCGGGCAAAACGAGGGCGGCAAAGAGGTGAAAAGCTTTCATTATAAAACGGGTATTTTTTGCACGTTCTCTAAATGGGATTTCATATGTGGAGCTCCATCATGAACTGAGAGAGGAAAAGAAGAATGATGGAGAGAGAGAGAGAGGGAGCGTGTGAATGGGTGAGAGAGGGAAGCAGATGGCTGGAAATATAGCCTGCTAAATTATTCAGCTAAGGCTGGAGTCTGCAGATAGATAGATGGATGGGAGCTGGCATGGACACTTTTATTAGGATTCCGAGAGCTGCGAGGAGAGTGGTTCAAAAAACACCGTGATTGCCTTTTGAGACTAAGAAAAGTAATTGCATCAGGTCTGGGAACAGCCATTTGCTGGAGGAATTAAATCTTAAGTCTTAAATTAAACTGTGAAATGAGGACAAATCTCTGCACGTAGCAAACTTGCGCTGCAGAAAAATAACTTTTATCCTTCTTTAGATGTGATTTGTGTCAACTGCAGTATTTTTTTTATTTATTTTTTTTTTACCTAATGCCAACGCCTGGAGAGTTTAGAAAAATCTTTTTCTCTAATCATTAATTTTAACCGATACCAAGTCCAGTACGAGTCGATTCAGGACGCTGGGAGCCCAAACATCCCAGCTGCCGTCAACAGTTTGGGTTTTTAAAACAAGTTGCCTCAACAGTGAGGTCGCATAAAAATGAAAAACGGGCCGAGACCCGGTTCGTAAAATAAGATTTGTGGTAGGCGTATGCAGTGCGGGAAGGCCAGGGGTCCTTGAGTGGGTTCCAGGGCGTCTGAGCGTTTTGAGGAATGGATGAAGTTCGCTATAATTCACCAGGAGGTCTTCCTCTACTGGGGCTCTTACATGTATCTAAAATATTTGCATTGAAAACCTTTTATTTGCCTGAAGATAGGTGCTGTTTGCTTTATTTCCCCTCCTCCGCTCGACGTGTACAGACGGTAAAAAAAAATATCTCTCTTTCCATTTCCAGCTCTGTGCATCATATATGACTCTCCTCAGATTCATAGACACACACATACACAGATGCACACACAGTCCTGAGTGGAGGGCTCCGGGGAAATAGAGCAGAGAGGAAACTACGTGCCTTCGCCAAGCGAGGGCTGTCTGGTGTCATGGCAACCAGTGCAGATTACCCCACCCTCCATCAGTCAGAGAGGAGAGAGGAGGAGAGGAGGGAAACGAGGGATGGGCACACACACACACACACACACACACACACACACACACACACACACACACACTTAAACACATACTCATGTCTAGAGACACACATGAAATAGTTACACAACATGTAAAATGCTCTTACAGGGTTTAAATAATCTGTTTAAATGTCGTTCGTCGTCTTTTTTAAATATAAAATGTTGTTTTTTTGGGGCATTAGAGATTTAATCAGCAGCTGCAGCAGTAAACATAAAAATAAAAAACCTGAGTGGACAGGTAAGCACGAGGTGGAGGAGAGGAAGAAAATGAGGAAGGAGGGAGGGACGTGGAAACAATGATGAGAGTGGTGCAGGGAGAGGGGGAGATGTGTGGAGGGGCCATAAACATATAGTAGAGCTAAATACGTTTAGGGGGGGTGGGGGGGTAAACTGTTATTAAAAGCAGTGAGGTTACCCGATGAGCAGCTTCACTGCGGAGGTGGACAGTTAGCGACGTGCTAACACGTTTCACGCTTCCAGAGCCCTATCGAAATGAATTTCGCGGGAGATATTATTGTGTGTGTGTGTGTGTGTGTGTGTGTGTGTGTGTGTGTGAAGGTTAGCGCTGCAGCCTGAGAGAGGAGGGATGCTGGGCAGGAGGAGAGCAGAGGCAGTGATGCATGGACGAGCTGACACCGAGAGAGGGGGAAGAGAAGGGGGGGATAATATTAGAGTCTGCATGAGGGTATGAAAGAGTAGTTGCAGGTTTTGGTAGCAGAAAAAAAAAAGAAAAGGGAAGACAGATAGGGTGTGGAGGAGATAAATGGCATCAGCATGAGGAGAGGAGAGGGGAGGGAGGGAGAGAGAAGGGGGGGGGTGAGGTCGTTTGAGGACATTGAATCCTAAATTGACTGCGGCACAGCCATCGTCCACGGTTACATCACAGCCCAGCTCAAACTCAGGGTGAACCTCTCTCTCTCCCCCTCTCTCTCTCTCTCTCTCTTCCTCTCTCTCTCTCTCTCTCTCTCTCTCTCCCTCTGCCCACCTTGCAGCGCCTCAGAAGGCGACTTCTGACCGTACGGCAATTAAAGCAGAGTACGACTGAGCGCGTGCGACGGGATGCATCATATTTTAACGTGACGACGCCAGGGCAGCGACCGACTGAAAACCACCAGCGAGCTTTTTTTTTTTTTTTTCTCGTTGGCTTCCTCAGTCTTTGTGCTGCAGTCGTCATCATCCTCATCCTCATCCTCATCATCATCACCACCAACGACGTGGTTGTAACCAGCCTCATTAAGGCTCGTGTGCATTTTGTAAACAAGGCACCAAACACAGAAGTCTGAGATTAGACATCACTTAGCATCATCACCGAATCATCGAAATCTCGGTCTTTAATGAAACATCCACTAAATGTCAGACGACTTGTTACTAACTGTTTGTTTACAAGCTTCATTTATGCTCTTTCCCAGTTGTAGTTGTACTGGGAGACGCCCAGTCCAGTCTGCAGTCTGCACAGTTGGGAGCTCAGAGCCCGGCTGAAGGGCACCTTGAAACAACATTATTTGACGTGGAGTTGTGTGAGGTTTTTATCTAAAGTCAGTGTTTTACCTGCAGTAGATTCAGATCAGCAGGAGCACTGGTGCAGAAGCTGAGTGATGAGCTGCTGTGGACGAGGACGACATGTTTGAGCCAGTTCATTTTAAACATTTATTTTGCAGTCAAACAGCCTTTTCCTTTGGAACTACATTTTTCAACCGCTGAACCACTGTATTCCTACGCACAAGCGCATCTATGACTCAAACAGCTGATCTGCAGAGTAACACAGTGTGTGCCGTAGGCGAACTTGTGTGAAGTAATCATTTCTCTAAAGAAAGATGGACGTAGCCTCCGTGACGTCGCTCACAGGTTTCTGAAGAGCAGGTTTGAAGCTCAGAGTGAGCTGCTCCACCATCGCCATCTTGGCAGTGTCTGACTCCGCCCCTGACTCCAAACTAATCCAAACATGGGCAAAGGGTGGGACTTTGTGGCAAACACACAAACAAACAGGGTGTAAACATGTTTATTTCTGCTGTTAAGTTGGACGTTTTAACATGGGACTCTTGGGGATTGACTCACTGTTGGAGCTTGCTATTCAAAATTAAACAAACACTTAAACTGATATTAATTTTTTTCCGTGGGCACTTTTTTTTTAAGTGGCTACAGCAGCACATCGCTCCGCTTCTGTGCTTGACTTTAATGTGCAGACGTGTGTTAATTTATCTTCCTTCTAATTTGTGGATTTGAAGCAACAACCCAAGTCGTGAGCTCATGTGGCTTTAGCTGCAATTTCCCTCCAGTTCCTGTTGTCAACTGGAAGCTGCAGATAACGTCTTCCTCTGGTTTTACCTTCAATAGGAAGGATGCACCCCCATACCCGGGGGTATGTGGTGAAGTGCCGATCCGACGCCAGCTCTCTTGTTTCCCCCAAATTTTAAATCTGTGATGAATGTAAATGAACATTTGTTTCAACACAATCGTACAAAAATATGCAATTAGCTGAAACCCTAAAATTAACATACAATAAAGCTGTCGAGGTCTGGGATCCCACTTTGCTCTGTCGGTAATCCAGCCTCGGTAACTCCACTGCAGCACTCCCTACATACACCACGCAGCATGGTGTTCGGTCACACCTCCGCCTGCCTAATCTCCATACTGTAATCTGATCACAATGAATGACCAGGTTAAAGACTCGTGAAACACACGTGTAACTTTCAGGTGGCCCAAAGCTGCGCTGTGGTCCACGCAGAGACGTTGTTAACGTTATTATTTGCACCTGTGAGAAAGGTCTGATGGTTCAATACTGGACCAAAAACTACTGTGATTTAAAACAGGTGAAGAAAGAAGCAGAAAAAAAAAACACCATCTTCTTTCTTTTTTACTCATTAAACCCAGAAGCTGCTTCGCTGATTCTGTCTGTGATCCATTCAAGCGCCAACCAGAACACTCATGTGGATACTAACCGGCTTTATCTCCTCTTGTCCTCAGGAGCCGCCCGGACAACTGACTGGAACCTACCGACGACACCTGGCATTAATCTGTAAGTACTGACACCGCATTCACTGTAGTGGTGACATCGCCGTACGCTTTACAACGACCGAAGAATCAATGAATGGAGAAAAGCTGCGGGTTGAACGAAATGAAAATAACCATTAGTTGCATCTAGTGTGGCGACACTGCACAGACTCAGAGGACAGGTGCTGTTATTCAAGCAGAGTAACATCTGACAGAAGAATGGAGAGCATCTCAAAACACAAGAAATGTGTCATTTGGGACTAAAAACAACTAATTTATTCACCTAGACTTCACTATAACCTTGAACTTTGGCGTGTTTTTACAGGAAGTTCTTTCCACCCAGTTCCTGTCTCACATAATGTGGGGAAACTTAAAGCTCCTCCAGTGTAAAGGTCTCTGTCCATGTGTAGTGTGATTATAGATCAGCTCTAGCTTCTATATTAATACTGTGAAAGTATCAAAGCCTCAGTCCACAGAGAAATGCACACAGCCTGTATTCAGAACCTGAGCCTTAAAACCAGCCGTCAGGACTTCTGGAACTTTGTGATGTCACAACAAGCAAGTCACCAAGCCCCGCCCACCTGGACCCACCATCCAAAACCTCTGCAGGATTTGGTTTCTCTGAGTGTTTTTACCTGAAATCTGCCATATCTTTATTGGATCACTCAGAAAACAGTCAGCCAATCAGAAGAGAGGCTCAGAGCCTCCTCTCTTCTGATTGGCTCACCGACCTGTTGTTACTAGAGCTGCAGAGAGAAGCCAGCTAGTGCATTCTTTGATACTCCTCTGCTAACACACCCATGCACAGATGTATGTAGAAGGAATCAAGCAGAAATCTGTTTCACAATAAAAGCCTCGGTCATGATCCGTGTCTTTTCTCCCCATCAGGATGCTTTTTAAAATCCTGCTACATGATAGTTGTGCAGAGAGTCATGTTGAGCAGTGGCAGAACTGAGGAGGGGAGTGTCGAACATGTCAGGTTCCTGTGTCCTCTCTGTCTGCGTCGCTCTGTCTCCGTCCCCGTGTGATGCAGCTGTTAGCGTTCGACTGGTCATCGGCCTATAAATACAGCAGATGACTGATGGATCCCGCAGCAGCTGTCTGCTGTCCCGCGGCACATGGACGCATCATTTATCCACAGACACAAACGTGCAAAAACACATTTGGTGCGTTTGTTGTTGTTGTTGTAAAAACATTTTGCAGACTCCTCTGAGTGGGAGGAGAGCTGACACGAGTCCAGCAGCAGAGTCTGTCTCTCTTTCTTCTTCTTCTGTCTTTCATCCTTTATTTCTTTCTTTTCCTTATGCGTTTCTCTTCCTTAGTTTCTCCTTCTTTTCCTTTGTGGTAAATCATCATTGTAATACAGTCGATTACACAGTTGATTTAATATCTCTTTATTCGTAAGATTCAGGATGGTGTGGTCACATCAAATCCACTGGAAGCCACAAAAAAAATAGTAATACCATCCTGATCTATGAGTCTGAGTAGATTATCAGCATTTTGAAATGAAATAGTTTTGGATGGAGACGTCTACCCGGAGCGTTTCGCCTCTCTGTCTGATGCACATGACAGCAGAGAGTGGCAGTGAAACAATGATGTGGATGTTGAGGATCCCAGATTTATCCTCCCTATTCAGCGCCGCAGCAGCTGCACAGACATAAGGAGAAGCATCATTACAGTGAACCGAGGCCTGTTAATAGGCCTGCGACGTAGGGGGTCTGTCGGCTCCGCACGGGCTCTCGCAAGAGGGGAGGGGAAGTGGGGAAGAGGGCGAGGAGGGCGGGAGAGTGAGGGGAGGTCAGGGGTTAGGGAGGAGTGTTGGAGACAGGAGTGGGTGGGGGGGGGGGGTGTATTTTTATCCGTCCTGAATGAAAGAGCTTGATTTGATCTACGACAGCGACAATTTGTTTTAGATGCTGAATATATGTTGATGTGATGGCAGCCATATTGAAGACGTGTCGGTACAAGGTCAAAATGAAAATGGATACTTGCCCCCATCCTTAGCTGCTACCTGAACCTGATCTCAGGGAAGTTCATTCTTTTCTTTTTTAGATGCACTTTTACATCAATATACGAGCAGAAGTGTTCTTCTGATCATGTGAGGATTAAAATACTGTATACGGCCCCGCGTGCATTAAATCTGGGTTTAATTACACTGAACATCTGTCTTTGGCAGATGTGAGGCGTCCATATTTGTTTTGTTTTTCAGTCTCTTCCATATTAATAAGATCGAAGTCAGATACTGACTCTCAGACTTTTCAGAAAAATCCTCCAGTTACAATTATGACTTGGAAGTTGATGTAAACAGTTTACGAGTCCGAGACTTGTAATCAAGATAATATGACATGAACATGAATATTGGAAAAGCTTGATCTCCCTTACTCTCCTGTGCCAGAGCTCCACTTCTCTCCAAAACCCTTTAAACATCAGTGAGCCGTCAACTGTTGCACTGGGTGACACTTTCATGGACACAATTTTTTTGGACTTGATCAGAAACATGGAAAAATATTCAAAATTAGATATTGAGATTTATTTTACAAGAAAAAAGGATCCAAGAAAAATTAAACTTCATCCAAAATGCGGTGAAGCCAAGAGCAGCGTTACTGGCAGGACAATGATCCTCCATCTATTAACCAGCAGTAATACGTCACCACAGTTCACACTCCACCCCACCACTATCATCTCCCTGACACACAACATGATCAGACCGATCCACGAGGGTATTAGACATATTGACACACTGATCTGAGACCTGCAGACCCGACTCGGGTCCAGGATCAGGATCAGGGTCTGTTTGATTACTAGGAAGCGCTCGTTGCTGCACTGCAGTGAACATGGTCGGCACTGTAGTTTATTTTGAGTCAATCCTACATAAACCATCCTGCTGCTGTAAACACTCAGTAGAGCACCAAATCTGTATTAATCCACAGCTGAAAATAGTCCCCAACCTCACTGTATGAGAAACGAAAGTGTTTTAAAAGCCTTAAAACTCCTGGATGTATTAGCTGAACATCAACCCCTTTCTTTTCTGACGCAGTTTCGCTCTTAGTCTGAAAACCTGATAAAGCACAACAATAAGGAAACTAGAGAAAAACAAACTCAACCCCAAAACTGAGCCCTTGTCTCGACAGGTGAGGAGGATGACACATTATTATCATCATTATCATTTATATTTAGCAGTAATAAACATCTTCTGTATTGATAAGAAACAAAAGATTTATGGTTCCAAAGAGCCTCAGATTCTTCTGTTGTTAGACAAAACAACATGAATATGAATCCAGTTTAACACTGTTTGTTTTCTCCTGGTAGTTTCATGCATCTGGCATCCTCTGCAGTCTGTGTGTGTGTGTGGTGTGTGTGGTGTGTGTGCGTGTGTGTGTGTTATCTGAGCTTCTCCTTGACCTTCAAAAAGTGTCTACATGCCATGCTCACAGTCCCACAGTGGCAAGTTGAGCATTGTCCTCTGCAGAGGAGAGGTGGAGTTACGCGGACACTTTGAGAACGAACGTAATTTACAAGGAAAACATGCGCAGCTTCTCTGTGTGTGTGCGTGTGTGCGTGTGTGCGTGTGTGCACGTCTTTCCCCCGCTGGTCCCGGCCATCTGAAGGTCATGCCATCCCCATGCTCAGCTTCATGGAGAGCTGCCAATGCTGACGGCTGCAGCTACTGCTGCTGCACTGTGTGTCTGGCACTTGCCTCCATCACTGCAGGGCATTGATTAGGTGGCACAGCTATGCCTCACCTGCTGGAACCAGCCAATACCAATACAGCTGATGCTCCAGCCAGCCAATACCAAAGCAGGGAAAGGTTTGGAGAGGCTGGAGACAAACTGGCAGCCAGAAGACAAGTGTTGTTGTTTTTTTCTCCGGCGAAAAAAACAGAAAGTATCATGGAGGAGGAGTAGAAGAAAGAGTAATAAGATGGAGGGTTAAGGAGGGGGGATTCGGGAATTCGGAGGGAGAAAAAAAAGGAAAGCAGCTTTTGAAATAGCGACAAGGATGAGTAGAGTTGAGGGAAATAGGCGAGGAGACCGTATTCGTTCTCACACACATACTGGCGCACACACACAAATATTTAAAGCCTTTTCAGGCTGCTTTAGTGAAGCTGTCAAGATGAAAAATGAGCTAGTCAAATCTAATAACATGAGAAGTTAAGAAGCAAACTTTTCATGCAGAGCTGGTGGAGGGAAATGTTGATGAGCCCGGGCAGAGGAGATGTACAGCATTAGTCAAGAGCTGAAGCACTGATCGCTTTGCTTTAGTGCAGTAAAAGTACGAGGGTCTCACCGCAGCATCGATTAGTCGACGCAGCCAGAAGTCAGTGAACTACAGCAATTTGCACAATTGATGAAATGAATCATTGACTGACTGACATGTGGACTGTGAATGAGGAAGTTATTCATCATAATTTTGTCAACAGACTTTGTCATTGTGCATTTCCTGCATTACGTTTCCCGCCTGCTAGCATGCTAAATTGTTAGCCAGCTGCTGCTGCAGGAAAGGAGGTTGATAATATGACACACCGGACAATTTAGCAGGAAGTATTAATATTAACAAAAGCTCTGATCCATTTGAAACCAACATGTACAACACCACACCCTGAAACTTGCTCACCTTAACAGCCATCATTCATCTTATTCATTTATTTTTTGAGCGATCTTTTGTTAGCATAGGAATATTGATTAGTGCAGCTTAAAAGCAAATATAAAATACCAGTTTTAAATTAAGATTTTAGTCACGGTTTGTTGGGCGTCGCCTCTGGTTTTTGGTGAAAAAAGTAAACGCTGTTCTGATAAAACAGATCTCAGACGTCTTTACGAAACTACACATCTATCGACCACTGGGGGGCAGCACACACAGAATGAGCGGCTGCTCTCTGAGGTATACAACGGAAGAAGAAGAATTCACATATCCGTAAACACGGTGAAGCCTTAAGACAAAAGATCGACCAAATTTTGACTTCTGCATTCTGCAAAACGTGTGCATGCTTTACCTTTTATTAGCAGGTACGTGCATCGTTCCCCG